GGAACAGGATATCGGGGAGTTGAGGTCGTTCTATGATTTCACTGGGGAACGGTACAAGGGCCTGATGATCTGCGATTTTGTGCCGGGCAAGTTTTTATTCGCGAGCGTTGAGTGAAGGGGTCATAAGAGGGTAGCTGTAGTGCGGAATCTAGTTTTATAAAGACCCGAGTCCTCCTAAGAGGTAGCTAGGGGAGGTTTGGGATCAATAGATCGGGTCCTTACCTCTATCCTTACCTCTATACTTCTACCTTCCGGTGAACCGCCTTCACTTCGAATACAACCCCCTCAAGAACGAGTGAGAAGATGGTTGACGCCTACTGGCGACTTGAATCTAGGAAAGACACCTAATTGTACATGAAGCTGAACACTAAACCCTAATTAGCAAAATGTCCACGAAGTACTATGTACACTAGTATGTAAGCATAGCCCTACAGTATTTAATACAGTATCAATATACAATTAATACTCGGTATGTGCCCGGACAAACTTACGCCGAGCATCCGCGACGGCTCGTTTCCAACTGTACAGCAGGTGCTAAGAAACAGCCCGAGCTACTGTAAGCCAACGACTGTCTATCCGCCGTCAATCAATGCCAAACCTCGAATTGGCCCAAGCCGGATGACTTGACAACCCGACCGTCGCTACGGGCCGATATAAATCACCTGGCCTATTAATTGATGAGATTGGTGGCCTTATACACCTGGCATATTTCTCATTGACAGGAAGTTTTGACTTTTCACGGGGAGAAAAAAAGGGAAAGGGGGGAAAAAAGGAAAAGGAACGAAGAGAAAAAGAAGAAGAAAAACCATGGTGGTACAACCCGCGACAGCACCGTTACGGTGCCTACGACGAGCGGCCCTGAGACCCTCACCACCCTCCACCACCACCATCACGACCGCCATTCGCGCCCTCAGCACCTCGACACCACTGTCGCGGCAAACGCCGTCGCACCGCACCGTGCCAGCGGACCTGGTGCCCGACTACCCGTACGGCCGATTCGAGACCTACAAGCAGCGCAACGAGGGGCTCTATGGGCGGAGCAAGATCCGGTTCGGCAACGTCGTGGCGCCCAAGTACAGGAACAAATCACGCACGTCGTGGCTCCCGAACCGACACACGAAGCGTCTCTGGTCGCCCTCGCTCGACGCCTTCATCCGGACGCGCATGACGGCGAGCGTGCTGCACACCATCGACCGCCTCGGCGGCATCGACGAATACCTTTTGGGGTCCAAGGCGAAGCGGATAAAGGAGCTGGGCCCTGCCGGCTGGGCGCTGCGGTGGAAGATCATGCAGACCGATGCCGTACAGGCGCGCTTTGCGCGGGAACGCGCTGCCCTCGGTCTTCCTCCCAAGGACACCCTCACCGGGGCTTCCGAATTCCCTGCCGAGTTGGCTGCTGAAGGCCTGAGTTCTGAGGCTGTGCTCGATGAGGTTGATGCTATGCTGAAGCGAGAGGATGAGTTCGTTATCGGCGACCCCGCTGCCGAGGCCGAGGACGCAGCGGCTGTAGAGGGACGTGAAGATGCTGTCCAACAGACACAGAAGCCTGAATAAACCGACTCCGTCGAGAGTTGGGGATAGGGTTGTTGAAGCTGTAGCCGTTATCAGTAATGACGGTGGGGGGCCATGGAAAACAGAGAGTTAGTCGTCTCCCTTGAACTAAAAGAGGTCAGAAAGCGACGACGCATCACTGTACTATATATACTAGCATGAACTGGAAATGTACAAAAAATGTATCATGATGCAAAACACCTGTATATGGTTATCAGACGACTATATACACACAACAGCAGATCATTCGTCTTTATACAATAGAATCTGCCACGATTTTATGCTTCTTTCCCATGCGCCAACTCCTGTATTCATTCCATCTTTATCCCCCCCTTTTTTCGTGAATAAAGCCCATACTCACGTATCCTTTAAAATCGAAGGTCCCATCCGATCTGGGGACCCAATTTGGGCAACTCGTCCGCCACGCTCTGGACGTCCTTGTCGCCACGACCGCTGAGACAGATGACAAGGTCCTCGTCCTTCTTCATCGTCTTAGCCAGCTGGACGGCGCCGTAGATGCCGTGAGCCGACTCGAGTGCCGGGATGATGCCCTCGAGCTGACTGAGCAGCCGGAAGCCCGCGAAGGCGTCGGCGTCCGTGGCCACCACGAACTCGGCGCGCCCGCTATCTTTCCAGGACGATAGCTCCGGCCCCACACCAGGATAATCGAGACCCGCCGAGACCGAGTGTGTGTCAGTGATCTGACCGTGCTCGTTCTGAAGAACGTAGGTCCGGACACCGTGTAAGACGCCCTTGGAACCAGCCGTCAGGGTCGCTGAGTGACGTGCCGTCTCAACACCATCGCCACCGGCTTCGACGCCTAGTAATTTGACACTGGGGTCATTCGCGAACGGGTAGAACATGCCAACAGCGTTGCTGCCACCTCCGACACAAGCGACGACGGCATCAGGAAGCTTCCCACGCTTCTCTACCATCTGCTGTTTTGTTTCGTTGCCGATAACAGACTGGAATGTCCTCACAACGGTAGGGAAGGGATGGGGTCCGATGGCTGAGCCAATGATGTAGTGTGTGTCTTCGAGATGTACAACCCAGTATCGCAGGGCCTCGTTGACGGCATCTCGAAGCGTCTTACTACCGGCCTCTACAGCGATAACCTTAGCACCGAGTAGTCGCATGCGGAACACATTGAGTGCTTGTCGTCGTACGTCTTCCTAGATGGGTTGTTAGTAATTAGGTCTACTAGGTAGAGAATTGAGTGGAAGAAGAAAGGGAACTCACAGCACCCATAAAGACTGTGCATTCCATGCCAAACTTGGCGCAGACGGTGGCTGTAGCTACACCATGTTGTCCCGCACCCGTCTCGGCAATGATCTTAGTTTTACCTAGCCTCCTAGCAATAAGTAGCTGGCCTAGGGCATTATTGATCTTGTGGGAGCCGGTATGATTCAGATCTTCTCTCTTCAACCAGATCTTGGCACCCCCCGCGTGTTCGGTCAAACGTTCGGCATACTGTAGATGACCGGGCCTTCCTATCCAAGGATAGTACGATCTATATTCCTCCCAAAACTGGGGATCGTCTTTTAAGGTGTTGAATCCATCCTCAAATTCTCTGAGGCAGTCCATGAGAGATTCGGGAACGTATTGGCCACCGAATTCGCCGAACCGGTCAGGTATCTTGCCGTGGAGAGCAGCGAGTTGTGCGACCAGCGCAGCATCATCTTCCTCGGTAATCGTGCCATTCACGGTGACATTCTCACCACTTGGCTCTTTGGCAACACCGATCGCCTCGATAACACCCACTTCTCGCGTGACCTCGGGCTCACCAGTCCGCCCTGTAACGTAGGCACAGTATTCCTGAGCGGCCTGGGCGTGGGTGCCGGCCTCAGCTTTTTGAAGAGTGGTGACGATCTGGGAGCCGATGACGACGCCATCGGCGATGGCAGCAACGGATTGGAAGTGCTCACGCGTAGAGACACCAAAGCCGACGGCGGCGGGTTTGTCGCCACTATACTTCTTTACGCGCTCGAGCAGGTTGGGGAGGTTGGCATTGAGGGTACCCAGGGCACCGGTGACACCCATGCGCGACACGACGTAGATGAAAGAATCGGCCAGGGCGCACAGCAGCTTCATGCGGGCGTCCGAGGTGGCTGGGGCAATCAGCGGGACGTATGACAGGCCGCCACGGCTGCAGAACTTGCGGAAGGAGACGGCCTCCTCGGGAGGTAAGTCGCAGATGATGAAGCCATTGACGCCGGCAGCCTTGCAATCGTCCAACAGAGCCTCCTCGCCGTAGCTGAGCAAGGGGTTATAGTAGCCCATCAACAACACAGGGACGGTCAAGCCTTGGGCGCGCGCATCCTTGATCATCTGTAATGTAGACCCGATGGTGACGCCGTGCTGGAGCGCGACGGTGTTGGCTGTCTGGATCGTGGGACCATCGGCAATTGGATCTGTGAAGGGAACACCTAACTCGATAATATCTGATTTTCCGCTATGTCAGACAGGATCAATTGGGCCAATCTGGGGGTCATCAGCACGTACCAGCACCACCCTTCTGCATGCCTAGTAAGATGGAGGGCATGAGCTCAGGCTTGGGGAAGCCAGCAGTGACATAGGTCACTAGAGCAGCCTATCCTAGTTAGTATCTCCTTAGGTAGAGGATGGATCTGTATATCGTACCCGGTTCTCGGCCTTGCACCTCTTAAAAGTCTGCCTCAGATGCTCCATGTTGTCTCAGTTTCCCAGTTACAGTTGCGATTTCAATCCGATGGTCAGTTGTGGTCAATTGAGGATCAATGGCAGAGAGGATGGAAGAGAACAGAGACTTTTAGAAGACCTGAGCGTGTAGAGAAAATGAACGACTCTTTATAAGCATCAAGTGAGTCACACGGAGCTGCAATGGCAGTAAGGGTGGCCGTGGTGGCTGTATAAATCGTGTCAGGGAGGAGGATGAGGAGGAATGGTGACTGTTTTTTTTTTATTAAGAGTCAGGAAAGGCATGCGACTATCGGAGAATGGATTGATTGATAGGCACCCTGGCGCGTAGCACATGGCGGGGGAGGCGGGCAGGATGGAGGGGCACATTTCGATTTTCTGATAAATCGCCACGAACCCCACTCCCTACCGATCGACCGACCGGTTGTCCTGACGCGCCGTCTGCTCCACTCGACGCCGTAAGTCCTGTCAATCAACGGCATCACGGGTTTCTAGGGGTTCTAGGGGTTCTAGGGGTTCTAAAGAAAACATGGGGATTGATGAGCGATGAGTAATTGGTACGCCTGTGGAGGTTGCACTATCAAGATAAGGTTTGTACAGAGCCAATATGTATACGAAGAAGCAAACCGGGTAGCATTTCCGATATATACTCGATGAGATAAGACTAAAGGGCTCTAGATACAACCTGTCGGCTGGCCTAAGCCGTAGATGTAGAGGGTATAATGTTTCCTCACGAGATTGGCTAAGATTGAGTCAAATATAGGAAAAAACTATGGCCTTGGTTGGAATCAAACCAACCTTTGCGGTTTCTAGACAGAATCATACGCCGGGTTACCACTACCCCACAAAACCGGGGTGATTATAGTTTTCACCTTACTCTGTTGCAAGATTTTCTATTTATTTATATGCGAGTTCTCTGATGAGGCTGCTGTATCGAGGTATCAATTTCTATTATTCTGGGTGAGAGATGAATGTAGATGGATAGATGTATCTATATCGTAGATAGAAAGACGACAACTTTCCTGATTAGGAAATCAACTTAATAAACCAATCAGGTACACTACTACACAGTAGATCCGCTACACGGTCAGCCGGCTCTTGCCGGATCAGCCTCCGGGACTTTCTCATGCCCCTAATCCTGGCAACCTTCACCATCCTGGCCCTGTTCCATCCTTACCAATACCACCACAATTCAATCGCATGACTGATACGTCAACCAACTGTCACGAGTTTATTTATTTTTTATTTTTTTATTTTCTTACGATACACATCTACCTTGTCTAGTTGTACCAGCTAGTTGTACTGTTCGGCCTTCCAACTATACCAGTCATCCTCAGCGCCAGCAAGAATCACCACACCAAAATGGCCACCCGCTTAATACGCCTACCACGCACCCTCGCGCTTCTCCGACCCTCAACATCAGTTTCAACCTCATCGCCTACTTCACGAACCATCACACACTCATCGACACACTCAAGAACTTCGATAACAACAAGGCGACAGACCCAGCACCCACACATCCGACTCGCCTCGAGCTTCCAGTCAGGCCCCTCTCCTCCTCGCCTGCCACCTGACGAACAAGCCGAATTCGAGCGTCTACAGCGCACCGCCAACACGCAAGAAGGCTTCAACGCGACCTCATCTCCTGATTTCTCTCCTACCACCACAGCCGCCGCCCCTGAAATAAACCGAGAAAATGCGAATGCCCAGGACGTAGGCGCGGCACAACCCGTTCCCCTCCGCAAAGGCGCCCCGCCCGAATTCGAAGGCGACGTGAATCCGCGCACCGGCGAGGTAGGCGGGCCCAAGAACGAGCCTCTGCGCTGGGGTGCCGGGGGCGACTATAGCTTCAACGGCCGTGTGACGGATTTCTGATTCCCGCACTCAAGATGACTTAGTTGAACATGGCTGTCCGCCTGTCTGTCTGTCTGTCTCTGCACATAAATGAGGCTTGCGGGGTTGGGTTACTAGACATCATTTCTCGACGGAGACGTGGAGCAAGTCGGTAGATAGGGACGGCGCAGTAAATATACGAGTATCGTTCCATTTTTATAGAATTCTTATAGAATTTCTACAAAGAATCAAGGGCATATATGATACGTGCCACATATTAGCCCGAGGTCAAGGGGGAAGATAGCATGGGGGGATTCCTAGTATATATGTGGGCTTGCTACACGTGCTCCGTTTCGTTCATCATGCTTCTACACCCATTCAATAGGTTGGCTCAAGGGCCGCAAAATACAAGCCTGGCAGGTGGTTCAAAGGTGCATATCCGGAATGCCTCGGCTAGGCCGAGGTGGTCCGCCATATACCTAATCATGACATGGAGACAAACGCTCGCGTTCAACCAATATGCAATCATAATTAAACTTATAATATCTACCTCGCGCTCTAAGCTCATTCACTCCTACCATCCCAAAAGCTCATTCTACGTATGTATCTATGTATGCACCAGTCATGTATGAGACGGTAAAATCATACAAAGACACTAAACACACAATACAGTAATTCCACGCTATGCTGCTTCGGGTTTTGAAAAAGCCACTATTCTGTCTGCGGTGAGGTATCATAATCAACAAACCAAGCCGAAGTGAAATGGATGACCAAAAAAAAGAAAAAGTCATCGGTGCCAACCACCTTCGTCTAGAGATCTGATTCGAGCCATAGCCACCTCTTCATCGGTTCAGTGATATGGTAGTCATGTACAGAAACGAACAAGACGATGGTTCGACTCCAATCCCATTGACAGCCATCTTTGTCCTAAACAGACGAGCCGGGCTGTTTCGGCTCCGTTTTCTCCCCAGGTACTCTGGCGACTTGCTCCTCTGCCTTCAGCACGCCATTCTCGTCCTGGGTCCCGTTTTCTATAACCTCTCCGTTGGCATCACCGGGAGTCTTCGCACTCGCCATCGGCACTATCTCGGCCGATGGGGTAGGGATAGGCGCATCTACGGGACGATTCTCTTTATTGCCCTCTGCGTTACGGCGCCTCAACTGCCCACTCTTGATCGTGCCTTGGTCTCTTGTCGTCGCCTTGCCAGGCACTTCTATCTCTCCTATGTCTATAATTTGGCTGCGGTTCACTTCACTCATAGCTTTTCTAATTCGTTCCCTGCGTGCTTTGCCACGTAGTCGGCTCTGTGGCGCAGCGCCGTCCACCCAACGCACGCTCGATATCATGAAGCTAAGACCATCATGAATCGATTTTCGGCCATTGTAGGTCCCACCGAACTCCCGGCTCTGTATACCGTATCGCGTGGAACTGGTGTACTTCTCGAGGGGCGGGAGAATGAGCAGCGTTACATGTAGGTCGCGATCCGCAGGGATATGAATCGGACCGGATGCTGGGACTGAATTCAACACTTCCAAGTGTTGCTCAGCTGGTAAGATGCGCTGCTTTGACTTGGACACTGGCTTCTGAAGCTCGAGCAAATCTACATCCACGTCGTCTGGCCATTCCCCACGAATCCAACCAGCATGGATGCATGCCGCGACCACGTCCGAGTCGTCCGTATAGACATCCGTGCCCCACACCGCTCGACGAGCCGTAATCTCTTCCCGAGCTGACGGGGTCAGGTGAACGCGGGATATCTTGACAGTGAGAGACGAGTTCTCGTTATCTTTGATCATCTCCATAGGTAGAGGCCGAGGCGTAGTCGAGTAACCAAATCTGCCGTGTGAGGACTCCAATTTGGCGGGCTTCAACAAGACACTATACACAACATCGCCTAGATGCTTGCGGGGGCGGTCGGCAACACTGTCGAGGACCACCTGGGACGAAACCTTTTGCTTTTGCTTCGGAATAATGCTAGGGCCAGGGGGGGGCTGTTTGGCGGAAGAGCTGGGAGTTGATCTGGGTGGCTGGTGGTGATGGTGCGTGAAAGAGTAATCACGGCCGGCAGGTGATGGTATCGGGGTCGTCGACTTCAGGTTTTTGAGCGGGCCACCCACACCTTGTAGTGGCGAAGAGGTTCGTTCAGGTGCGTGGTGATGGTGGTGGTGGTGACTAATGGCCACTAGATTAGTAAATTGGAGCATACCTTTTTCAAAAGGGGAGCGATCAGACATACTGATGATGATGATGGTGAGCATGCGTCTTGGCACGCTTCGTCCTACCAATGGGGGTCACTCGACCGTTGCTATCATCATCGCCTTTCACATCTTCATCCTTAGGCTTCCCGCGTTTTCTCCGCGGTTTTGTGGCAGCTTCACTAATCGGTTCTGGGTGGGGGGGCTCAACATCATCGCGCCGAAGGTTGGGGTTCGAAAAGGGGATTTGGGCCCCGGATGGCCCCGGGCTAGAGACACCAATACCGCGTACACCGCTTCCTATACCGGAGAACATACGGCCAAACTCGTGCTTGATCCCGGGTTCCCCTGCAGGTCCTTGCAACATGGGTTGGGCTCCCTGGACTGCCTGTGGCAATGGCGATACTCGCCCCTTGCGGTTAATGTCCTGTGGTCCCAACAATGCCCTCTGCGGCCCTGTATGAGAGGGGCCATCATCGATAGGCCGGGGCCGCCCGGCCTCAAAGGCAGTAGCACCAGGGCCACCGTTGTACGCGACCGAGGGAGGAGGTGGTCCCTCCTCTCCCGGCCGACTTCCCGACGGAGCCCCACGTTGCTGCTGCTGCTGGTGCTGAGCATGCAACGGAGCGAATCGGAGTCTTTCAGGTGATTCGAATGAGTGGCCTGGTGGAGGGGGGCCAGGCTGACTCGTAGGGTTACCATGGTGCAGTGGTTGGCTGGTAGGTGGGAAACGTTCAGGTGGTGGTTGGTGTGCGTAAGCAGGATGGCTACCGTATGGGGGCGCAGTCGTCGCGGGGAACTCGCCTGGGCGATGTCCCGGATAAGGCTGGCCATACGCATCCCTCGGGGGTTGGTCATATCCGGGTCGTTGTGGCCAGGCGTGTGGATCACGAGGGTCGGGTCGGCCATAATGTGGCGGCGGTTGCCGGGACGAGGGTTGAGTCCCATGCTCTCCGGGATGCTGCCCAGGTGGGCGCGTTGGATCTGACGATGTTCGTTCCCGTTGTTGTTGTACACGCTGTAACTCTATTTCACGCTCTATCTCTCTTTCTCTCTCCCTCTCTCTTTCGCGATCTCGTTCAATACGTTGTCTCTCCAACATGATTGGCCGTTGCTGCTCCTCGTACATTAAACGTTCTCGCTCTCGCTCCCGCTCCCGCTCTCTAAATTCTGCCTCTCTATTCATATGCTCTCTATACTCTCGCTCTCGCTCGGCCGCTAGGCGATGCTGTTGTTCCTCGTAGGGTACGGGACGGGGTGGCCCCCGCTCAGGATTGTATTCAACAACTCCCGGACGCCCTTCTTCGCGCGGCGCATACATAGCCTCGCCATGTGGAGGCGGTGGGCCCCGGCCCATATCTGCGGGTCTCGGAGCCATGCCATGGTACGACCGTGGCTGGCTACTGGGTCGAGGAGGTACGCTGGCAGCGCTGATGCGGGCCGCAGGTTCCCTCCTGTTGTCATCAGCGGATGGCATGGGCGGGGGTCTTTGCTGATAGGCCTGAGGCGTGCTATACCTGGACAATTCGGGAGTACCATAAACACCCCGAGGCGGAGACCCAGCGACACTGCCTCTGTGATCACGCGCATCAAACGGAGGCCGCCCCGGGTCGGGCGTCTGTGGTCGACGCTGGTGGAACGGACTGTATTCTGCAGCGTTTTGTATGCGTGGTGACGCATGAACAGAACTAGCGTATGCGGGACCTGAGACAGCAGAAGTGGTAGCGGGAGGTGGATAAGGTGGTGCATGGCCGGGTGTAGACTCGCGAGGCGCAGGCGGAGGGCCGCCGAGCATAGAAGAGATAGACATACTCCCACCGGTA